AGAGCTGCTCCGCAGATCTTTCCTCACTCACTCGCTTCAAGGCGAGCTCTCTCCAGGGCCCTTGAACTGAGTCGTACTCTGCCTCGGCAGAATCTAACCAGAGACACATAGTCTCGCAGTTTTTCACACGCTGCCTCGCAAGGCGCGTAGAAAGAAACAGAGTCCCAGCATCGGCCGCACATTTCAAACCCAAGCGGCCCGCGGATACTCCACTTTCGCCGTCACCTCCTCAGTCTCTAGCTTGGAATTGATTCCACTAGAGTTCTGCGTCCGGTTGACTCGACCACAAAGGGACACTCTTACACAAGACGACATCCGAATTCGGAGACCTCTCTCTCCTCGGTACTCGGAGCAATCCGTAATACCGAGAGCCGAGACGGTTACAGTTATCAGCACACCAGAGACTCGTTCCGTGGCAGTACAGACTTCACCGCTCAGAGCCTGCTCAGAGAGCAGTTGTCAGACAGAAGACCATTTCCCGAACGGAGTTCCACCGACGCCGGGAAAGAGGCTGCAACGAGCTAACTCAATTGAACCGTCCTTTTTAGGACCCGTTCAAAACACTAAGACGCGGCCGGTAATTTCTTACCGCGCCCGTCAATTTTTCTTTTAACTCTCGGCCTTACACATTTGCCGAGAAAGCGCCTCTGGCGCAATCAATTAAATCAAACGAAAACTTGTACATATACTCTATTTCTCTGACGAGGAAAATAAATTATATTTTTCTAAGAAATTGGTTTCATACTTTCAACCAAGTCGAACACAATCCATTGGGCCATACGCCTATAGTTGGTTTATTGCGGGGTTCCTCAGGGATCAGTTTTAGGACTCCTATTATGGAACCTCGCATATGATCGAGTGCTCCGTTAGGCGCTTCCTCCGGGCTGTCGTCTAATTTGTTATGCGGACGACACGCTGGTGGTGGCCCGGGGGAGGAATTGGATTGAGGCCCGGAACGCGACCAATGCCGCTCCGGGTGGTCGTGTGCTCGATACGACAAATGGGACTGGAGGTCGCCCCTCAAAAGACGGAGGCCCTGTTCTTTAGGAACAGGGATATGGGGCGACCCCCCCCCCATCCTAATCTGGGTAGAGGAAGTCCGCGTCCCGGTGGGACCCCAGATCAAGTATCTGGGTCTCATCCTGGATGGACTCTGGAGATTCGAAGAGCACTTTGTGCGTATAATCCCCAGAGCGGACAGGATGGCGGCCGCGTTAAGTCGTCTCCTGTCCAACGTGGGTGGTCCAAGCGCCAAAGTGAGGCGCTTATACACCAACACCGTGCAGTCGGTGTCTCTCTATGGGGCACCGATTTGGGCTGGGGCGGCATTGGCCAGCCGACAAATCAAACAGCTACTCTACCAGCAGCAACGGCGGCTGGCCATTAGAATCGCCCGGGCCTACTGCACGGTGTCGTACGTGGCGGCCACGGCCCTGGCGGGCCTGCCTTCAGCGGAGTTATTTGCAAACTCGTACGCCGAAGTATATTGGCGTACGAGGGACCCAAACCGCGCTGTGGAGTGCCAGCCTAACACCAGGGGCCATGAACAAATTAAGGCGGCAAGCCCGCCGCAGAATGATGGAGGCCTGGCAAGCCTCCATCGCGGACTCTTCGGCTGGGCGATGGACCATCCACGCCATCCAGCCCTGTCTACCCGAGTGGGTGGACAGGAGGGGACGAGGAATGTCGTTCCATTTGACGCAGGTGCTCACCGGACACGGGTGTTTCGGAGAGTACCTGTGTCAAATTGGAAAAGAGCCCACGACTGGGTGCCACCACTGTGCGGCTGGTCGGGACTCGGCGCAACACACCCTACAGGTGTGTGAAGCATGGGACAGGGAGCGCTGAGCGCTGACCAATGTGATGGGCACGGACCTCTCTGTCCCGGCAATTGATACCAAATCCAATGCTGGAGAGGAGGATAAGGTGGAAGGCCGTCTCCTCCTTCTGCGACCAAGTGATGTTGCAGAAAAAGGAGGCGGAAAGACCAGAAGAGGAGAGGTGGAGGACGCTCCTCCTCTACCCCCTTCCCCCTCACAGAGAGGGGGAAATGGAAACGGTGGCGGGAATCCTCCCCCAACTAAGAGGAGATTAGTCCCTCGCCGCCGTCTAGCCCATTTAAGTGCGTAAGTAGTGGGTCCCCTGGGTCACAGATTATACCGGCCTGGACCCACGGGTCGTTGGGGAGGGGGGGAGAGGGAAGCTCGTCCTCATCCCCCCC